TGTGCAATCCTTCTGCCTAGTCCGCCATCTTGCCGGAATTCGGCACATTGACATTTTAACACTATGGAGTTTTCTGTTCCATGAACATGGTATAAATATCTCCTTTTAATGTTTCTCAATAGTATATTATAGTTTTCAATGTGTGTCTTGCACATAATTTTATGAAATATATCCCTAAAGTATTTTATAACTTTTGATGCTATTGTATTTGAATTTTTGTTGTTAGTTTATAGAAATTAAATGGATTTTTGTCTATTATCCTGTTTCTTATCATCTTTTTAAAATTCATTTATTAGTTGCAGGACTATTTTGGGAAATATATTTGGATTTTCTGCATAAATCCACCAGTTGTCTGTCAATTTGTCATACTGTGTGGCATGTGTGTTACTGTGAGGCCAGAGGTTATACCACTGGTATTTCAAATATCGGCAGGGTCACTCTGGTGGACAGGTTTTGCTGAATCTTCCAACCTAAGGCTGGGAAGAAGGACGGGGCTATCCACTTCTGAAAAAATTGGCCACTGAAACCTTATGAATAGCAGTGTAAAGCAAATCTGAAATATTACTGGAAAACTTTATGAATAGCCCTGAAACATTGTCTGATATAGTGCCTGAAGATGAATCCCTCAGGTTGGAAGGCATGCAAAATACAACTGGGAAAGAGCTGCCTCTTCAATGTAGAGTCAACCTTAATGACACAGATGGAGTAAAACTCTGGCAACCTTCGTTTGGTGATGGGGCACGACACAAAATGGGAAGAAACAGCTGCAAGGATTCATTAGTAATCGGAATGTGGAATGTACGAAGTATGCATCTAGGCAAATTGGATGTTGTAAAAAATGAAATGGGACATGTAAAGATTGATATCCTAGGCATTCCACCCAAAAACCCACTGGCGTCGAGTTGGATCCGACTCACAGGGACCCCTCTTTGTGTTTTCAAGGCAGTATCTCTACAGAAGTAGATTGCCCAGTCTTCCTTCCAAGGAGTGGCAGGTTTGAACCACCAGCCTTCTGGTTAGCAGTCAAATGCCTTCGGCACTATGCCTTAGTGAGCTAAAATGGACTGGTATTGGGCATTTTGAGTCAGACAATCATATGGTTTACTATGCCAGGAATGACAAATTGATGTGGAAGACATTACTTTCATTGTCAAAAATGTTTCAAGATCTGTCCTGAAGTACAGTGCTGTCAGTGATAGGATACTATCCATATGCTTATAAGAGACCAGTTAATATAACTATTATTCAAATTTGCTCACCAACCACCAAAGCTAAAGGTGAAGAAATGGAAGATTTTTTACCAGTTTCTTCAGTCTGAAATTGACCAAAAATGTAATCTATATGTATTTATAATTATTGGTGATTGGAATGAGAAAGTTGGAAACAAAGAAGAATCATTGATAGTTGGAAAACATGGCCTTGGTGTTAGAAATGATGCCAGAGATTGCTTGATAGAATTTCGCAAGACTAATGACTTGTTTATTGCAAATACTTTTTTCAACAACATGAATGGTGACTATACACATGGACCTCACCAGATGAAATACACAGAGATCAAACTGACTACATCTGTGGAAAGAGGTGATGGAGAAGTTCAATATCATCAGTCAAAACAAGACCAGGAGCTGACTGTGGAACAGATCATCAGTTTGCTCATATTCAAGTTCAAGTTGAAGCTGAAGAGAATTAAAGCAAGTCCACAAAAGCTAAAATACGACCTTTGTGTATATCCCACCTGAATTTAGAGACCATCTGAAGAATAGATTTGACGCATTGAACACCAATGACTGCAGACCAGAGGAGTGGTGGGATGACATCAAGAGCATCATACATGAAGAAAGCAAAAGGTCATTAAGAAGACAAGAAAGGAAGAAAAGACCAAAATGAATGTCAGAAGAGACTCTGAAACTTGATTTTGAACAGATGGTAGCTAAAGTGAAAGGAAGATTACGCTGAAATGAAAGAACTGAACAGAAGATTTCAAAGGGCAGCTTGAGAAGACAAAATAAAGTATAATGAAACATGCAAAGACCTGGAGTTAGAAAACCAAAAGGGAAGAACACACTTAGCATTTCGTAAGCTGAAAGAGTTGAAGAAAATATTCAAGTCTTGAATTGCAATATTGAAGGATTCTTAAAATGCCATGGACTGCCAGAATGAAAAATCTGTCCTGGAAGAAGTGAAGCTGGAATGCTCCTTGGAAGTGAGAATGGCCAGATTTCGTCTTACCTACTTTGGTCATGTTGTCAGAAGGGACTAGTTCCTCTAGAAGGCTATTGTGCTTGGGAAAGTGGAAGGTCAAAGAAGAAGGGGAAGACCCTCAATGAGATTGACACTGTAACTATGATGATGGACTCAAGCGTAGCAAGGATTATGAGAATGGTGCAGGACCAGAAAGTGTTTCATTCTGTTGTACATGGGTTGCTATGAGTAGGAATCGACTCAGTGGCACCTATCAACAACAACAACATAAATCAACTTCAAAAAAGACAGTTTTACTTTTTTCTTTCCTATCTGCATGCCTTTTATTTCTTTATCTCACTATATTGCCTTCTTACACTTATTGTACATTGTTTAGTGTCAGTGAATATAGTGGGAACATCCTTGCCTTTTCTCTTGATCTTAAACTCAAAAGCAGAACAAACTCGCTGCCATCGAGTCGATTTCTACTCATAGCAACCCCCATTGGGTTTCTGAGGTGGTATCTCTATGGAAGTAGATTGCGCAGCGTTCCTTCTGAGGTATGGCTGGTGGGTTTGAACCACTATCCTTCTGGTTAGCAGTCAGATGCTTTAGGCACTACGCCACCAGAGCTCCTTTCTCTTCACCTTTGTTGTTGTTGTTGTTATTTGCTGTTGAGTTGGACCTGACTCATAGCGACCCCCCTTTGGGTTTCTGAGGCAGTATCAATACGGAAGTAGATTGCCCAACCTTCCTTCTGAGGAGTGGCTGGTGGGTTTGAACCGCCAGCCTTCTGGTTAGCAGTCAAATGCCTTAGGCATGACGCTACCAGAGCTCCTTCTCTTGACCTTAGTGGATGGCAGTTCAATTTTTCATAGATGCCTTTAGTCTGTTGAAAAGTTATTTTCAATTTCTAGTTTGCTGAGAGATTCTTTCATGACTGTATATTGAATTTTGTGAAATACATTTCCTGTATCTCTTGGATTATCATATAGTTTTTTTCTCCTTTTGTAGTGCAGTAATATGGTGAATGCAGTGATTTGTTTTCAGATGTCAAACAACCTTACATTCTTGGGAAAAAGAGCCTGTATTATGTTGTTAGTTGCCATCAAGTCAGTTCCAACTCATTGTGGCCCCATTTGTGTGCAGTAGAACTCCATGGAGTTTTCAAAGCTGCGCCCTTTTGGAAACAGCCAGGTCTGTCTTCCAAGGTGCCTGGGGGTGGGGGAAGGGAGTGGTTCATATGCTCAACCTTTCAACTAGGTAGTCAGGCCTTGTTCTACCCGGAGACATTTCTGGTTTCTGTTTGTTAAAATTTGTTAAGGATTTTTGATATTGAGACATATTCATCAGTAGTTTGGCTTTTTTTTTTTTCCCCCTTATCATGTTTTTTTCTGGGCTGTATTGCTGGCTTTATGAGTTGGGAAGTCTCCCTTTCCAAGTCATCCCCTTTCCTCATAAGAACCGCCTTCCTAAGATTACTTCCTTGCCTCCTTCATATTTTTAAGCGCTTTCCTTTTTATTTCCCGGAAGTCAGAGTGCTGATCTACTAGATCTCAGATCTTCCACTCAGGGTGGGACTCTCTTTCTGGGGGTGACTTTATCTGTGTTTACTCCAACAGGATCCTTATTCCCTTCTTCTTTTTTCCTTAATGGACATGGTAGTCTCCACCAGAGTCTCTCCACTGCTTAGGCTCTGGAGCTGGGTCTGATTTTTGGGGTTTCTCTCCTTATTAGAAATGTGAAGTCACTGGGCAGTGAGGTAGGCTAGCAGGCTTAAGGGAAGCTGGCATTTGACGGTCGTCCATAGTGTGTGAATAGGTCAGAGAACCAGGTGAGTCAGAGGTGGGTGGGTGAAACTTTATTGTTCTTTGCCTAGCACTTACTTTGGATATACAGGTGTCCTTCTAGAAATTGGTAGTGGAAGTGATCTTTGAAAATGCAAGCCGGTTGTCTAACCGTAAATCCTTTAGGATTCAGAAGAAATACCTGCATACACTGAACTGAGCAGAGTGCATTTGCCCGTCGCTTCATTCATATTTAAAAAATAATTTTTAGAATACAGTTTCTAGGACAAGCCTTTAATACTTTGAAAAACTTGCATCTTTAGACTCAGTATATTGCTAATGCTCTCAGAGTCTCTGTTTGGAACTCTCCATAGAAAGACCCCTAGGGTTCATTGGATTTTTAAGTTTTAATCCAGCTTCCCATTTGTGTCAGCGCATCAATTCTTTGGGTTTCGGAACTAGTAGTATTTATGGTATTTTATTTTAAAACAGTTTTTGGTTGGATCGGAATTTTTTTAAGAATCACTTTCTAAATATACTTAGGGTCCTCATGTTGAACAGTGTGAAAAGCCATTTATTTGTGAACAATCTGTTGCTTTTGTAAATGATGTTTTAGCAAACGTTGAGAAGAATGTGCTACCTTACGATCAAGGAGATGGCGACCATCTCGGAGGATGTGATCATTGTCACGAGCAGGTATGTGGATGGGCAGAGCCTGGGCATGGGCAGGTGTGTGGGTGGGCAGGGCCTGGACACGAGCAGGTATGTGGGTGGGCAGAGCCTGGACACGAGCAGATGTGTGGGTGGGCAGGGCCTGGGCACGAGCAGGTGTGTAGACGAGCAGGGCCTGGGCATGGGCAGGGCCTGGACATGAGCCAGGTATGTGGGTGGGCAGAGCCTGGGCTGGGAGATTTATGTATTTAGTGGTATGTTTGTTGTCAGCTTCTTACTGATTTTCCTTTTTGACTCTAAGAAAGCCAATAAGAATTTAAAAGAATGTGATATCTGAAAGTATCTTTTTCTAAAATGTGGCTGTCGTCACCGAAAACCATCCCTATCTTATAAAGCAAGGGAAAAAATTACAAAGATAAGGACAGTGGATTTGATTACATTAAAATAAAATGTAAAAACAGATTCAGTTTCAGTTTTTTTTTTCACATCTTTGATGTGGTGACACCCATGTGAAATTGTTCACTACAGATTAATAAGTAAGCACAAGTAAGCTTATGCTTAACTGCTTATTGCATAATACACCCCTGCCTGGGATCTTCAGAGCTCTCAAGTGGCCATGTAAGGTATAGCACTTGGTCTCTGTTCACCTGGAAGCAGGGGAAGGAGGGGAGTCAGGAGGAGGAGGACATGGAATGTGTGGCAGCTGCCTCCATGAACAACTGCCTCCTTTATCATGAGACCAGAGGAACTGGATGGTGCCCAGCAACCATTGCTAAACACTTGGATTAAAGATTCTATAGAATAATCCTAACTAAAAGGGGGAAAGTGCAGAACAGAATTTCAAATTCTCATGAACTCCAGATTTTCTGGAGTCATTGGGTCTGCAAGAACCTCCAAAACTGTTGCCCTGAGATAAAAAACCTTAAACCAAAAATATTCCCTGAAGTCTTCCTAAAACCAGATAATAGTTTAGCATAATTAGTAAGGAATGTCTGCTGTGAGCACTGTGCTCTTTCAAGAATTATCGACAACATGGGATCACACCGACAGCAGCAAGTCTAAAGATTAGTTAGAAACCTTAGGAACAGCTAGTTTATGTTCACAAGGGAGGAACAGTTCAGAACAGGAGGGTGAGAATGGTTGCACAACTTGAAGAATGTTGTTAGTGCCATGGAACTGCATGTGCAGAAATTGTTGGGTGTACATTCTGCTGTGTAGATTCTCAACAGTGACAGCAACAGCAAAAATAAATTATTAAAAAAAAACAACTAGTGGCCATCCAAGGCACGACAGTTGGTCTCTATTCACCTGGAAGCAGAGGAAGAAGGAATGTCCAGAATAGGAGAAGGATAATGGAATGTGTGGGTATTTCCTCCATGAACAACTGCCTCCTTTGCCATGAGACCAGAAGAACTGGCTGATGTCTGGCTACTATTGCTGAACATTTTCATCAGAGATTCCATAGAAGAATCCTGATCAAAATGTGGAAAATACAGAACAGAGTTTAAAATTCTCATGACTCCAGATTTCTTGGACCCATGATGTTTGGATGAACTACCGAAACTATTGCCCTGAGATGATCTTAAACCAAAAATACCCCCTGAAGTCTTCTTCAAACCTAGCAATGTTTAGCTCACTTCATCAAGAATGTCACCCTTGAACACCACGCTCTTTTAAGGGTATCCATATGAGATCAAATTGACAACAACAGCTTTGACAGATTAAATAGGAACCCTAGGGGCGTGAGTTTATGTTAACGGAGGAGGAGCAACTCAGAAAAAAGGTGAGAGGAGTTGCACAAATTTCATCATTGTCACTGAGTGGCACGTGTGGAAACTGTTGGATTGGAGTATGGTCTGTTGTCTATAGTTTCAACAATAACAAAATAACATTTTAAAAATCATCTTAAAAAACCCAATTAACTGCTTTACAAAAAAGAAAGGAATCAGAGATAGTATATCTAGACTGTGTCCAGTGATGTTGGCTGCAGAGCTTTTTCTACCAGCAAAAGGGATCCAACAACTTAGTTGTGTGACGTTGTTTAAAATTATTGAGTTAATGGTGTTACATCATCCCATGAGATATAGGAAGCTTTTGAAAATGTTTTCAAGGCATCTTTAACAACATGGAAAAGTCACTAATGTGCTGACTGAGGTTGGATTCCAGAATGTGTTCTATATAATCTTCCTTTAAAAATACTTTATGAATGCATAGTGAGAGATTTGGGTGGAAATACACTGATAGACTACTGGTGGCTTATACCTGGTGCTTGGGATCGTGGCTAATAGTTATTTTCTTTGAACTTTTGGATAATTTCCAAATGTCCTAGAATGAGTGTGTGCCATTTGTAGTTCAGAAATAGGTAATACATGTTATTTTAAAAAATAGTTGCTTTCTAATTTGTCAGCTGGAACTTGTTTAGGTGAATCTGGTTTTTGTACAACAAAAGACATGTTTGGAGCAGGGCACTTATGTTTAAATAGCCACTTGTGTTGAATGTCGTTTCCATTAGGGATGCTTCCAGCTGAAAGTAACTGAAAACAGTGACCAACACACAACGGGAGTGGATTTTTTTCCTGTATAGCAGAAGTCTAGAGGCAGGGAGGTGGTGGTGGGAGTTCAGTAGTTCAGCTGTGACAGGGCTGGTGTCTCTGGAATTCTTTCTGATGTTCTCACGTAAAGTAGGTGTCTGAATTTCTGGCCACATCCCATAATCAGGGTAAATGGGGGCATGGGAAGAAGGGCCTGTTTTATCAGGAAGGTAGTGGCTTTACCCAAAGCTGTTTTGAGATTCCGATTGGCAGGCCTGTATTATGTGACTTTCCTTACTTAGCTGGACAGTGGGCCAGGAGAGGTCGCTGTGAATTGAACCAACTCAGTCGCAGTGATTTTTTGGTTCAGTGTTAGGGCAGGCAAGAGGGAGTGGGGTGAAGTCAGTTAACCCCTCTCTGCCACAAGAAAGAAACAGAAAATCTTTAGTTAGATTCCCAGATTCATAAAATATTTGAGAAATTTAATAGTAGGTTAATCAACTGTTGATGATTGAGGGTGGTTTTTATTTATTTATTTATTTTTGGCTGCTAATGTCCTCTGAGTCTCAGTAGACCAGCCTTGTGTCATGGTTTGTTTCATTTTCAGCAATTAATAGATGTGGTAGGCAGTACATTGCCTGCCCCCCTGCCAAGATGTCCACATACTGCCCCCAAGTTCTGTGAATATGTTACACTATGTGGCAAAGGAAAGTTCAAGTTGCTAATTAGCAGATAGGGATCTTATCCTGGATTATACATGTGGGTCCAATGCCAGGACGAAACCAAAAACCAAACTGCTCCGTAGGATGTCCAAGGCTGTAATCTTTATGTAAGAAGACTATCACATCTTTCTCTCGTAGAGTGGCTGTTGGGTTTCAACTGCGGACCTTTCACATAGCATCTGAGAGCTTTTAACCACTGTGCCATCAAGGCTCTCTGATATAGAGTACAGCCTAAAAAACTCTGTGGGGTAGTTCTCCTCTGTCATATGGGGCTGATATGAGTTGAAAAACAACAGTACCTAACAACAGTAACTCTGTGTGTGTGTGTGTGTGTGTGTGTGTATACACCAAAAACCCACTGTCATTGAGTTGATTCAGACTCATAGCGACCTCCATTGGGTTCCAAGGCTGTAAATCTCTATGGAAGTAGATTGCCTCATCTTCCTCCCATGGAGCAGCTGGCAGGTTTGAAGCACTGACCTTTTGGTTAGTAGCCCAATGTCTTAGCCACTATGCCACCAGAGTTCTATATATATATGTATGTATGTTTATCTATATTTTTAATTACTGTTTCTCTCTTCTCCCACTAGAATGTAAGCTCTATGAAGGCAAGGGACTCTGTTTTGTTCACCATGATATTCTTTAATATTTAGGACAGTGCCTTATGTAAGATGCTCATTAAATATTTGCTAAGTCAGTAGCTGCATTTTGGTAACTGGGGACCGTTGGGAATTAGCTATGGGTGGACTCCATGGGAGGGAAGGCTTTGGTTGACTCCGTGTTAACTGGCTTTATTTATTTCAGTCTGACTAAGGACATGACTGGAAAGGAAGATGTGTACCGAGCCCCCGCCATCAGGGCTCTCTGCAGGATCACTGATGTGAGTCTTGTTTCTCTGAGGTGATAAAGGGGGACACTGTGTTTATGTAGGTTTAGTTGGACACCACAGTCTGTCTTGTGAATCTTCAGTATATACATGGGAAATGGAACCATCAGGAAGCTGTTGTGTCTGTGAGCTTTTTAATTTTCAGATTGTGTTTCCCCTTTTGTTTATTTTCATTTGTCTCTTCTCTTTATATTGGTAGGGACTGTTGTCATAGGGCACACTGCTTGCAGGCAAACAAAAACTCATTCCAATTTAACTGTCTTATAGGGCTCAGATCTCAGAACTGGGGACACAGCTTGTAGCCATGCCTGAGACCGGTGGGCTACAGGGCGACTGCAGGCAGGCTGCTGCCGGGTTTCTCCGATGGCTCCTGTTGGGGTCCAGCATTTGCCAGACTCGGGCCCTCTAGTCCCAGAGAGAGAGTCTGATCAGCTGCCTGCTGGCTGAGTCCAAGTCAGGTGTTTAACCTTGGCCCAGCGTGTTGTATCAGGAAGGAGGAGGCACCATCCCTTTCTGGGATCTCTGAGTGGGACAAGTTAAAATGGAAGGCCAAGCAAACTGAGTATCTCAGCTGTGTTCATGCCTGGGTATATTTTATGCATATGTTTTCCGTTTTCTCAAGCCAAAGGTTGAGCAGGATCAAGTGAGATAGAAACGCTTCTAGTAAATCTGGATACTGGGGAGTAGAGGAAGTGATTGAATGTTTTTTCTGCTCTGCTGTTTTGTTGTTGTGGTTTTAAGTATTAAAGTGATAGCATAAGACTTGACCGTGCCAGCGCTAGCAGTGAGACTCTTTCCTCCTCTGAGTACTGATTTTGGTCTGTTTACTCAACTTTGTCTGCCACTGCCAACCTACTGCTAAGCTTTTCCCCATTTAAAGTGAAAAATGACTTTATTCCTCTGGGATTTCATGTTGTGGTCTCATTATGGTATTGTATTACCCATTTAATTTCTCATGTATCTAAGATAATCAGGGGTTGCATTTGAATGTTAGGTCCCTTTGGGATCCATGTAAAATACATGTCCTTCACATCAAAAGGAACTTTCAACTCCACTTAGGAATTTCTTTTAAAACAGCTCTCATTGGTTCAGCCTCTGCTCATGCATTTCCTGCACACTGGACCTCTCCACTTGGAAACCCTTTGTTTCATTGTTGAAAAGTTACTTGTCTTTACATGTCATCTGAGATGTCTCCAGTGGAAATCTGTGCCCTCTTTTCTCTCTTCTGCTGCTGGCGTGTTTCTGTTCCATTAAGTGATAATCCTTTTAATGCCTTCTAAATATGTGTATAGAAACAAATGTGTGATTGGGTTTTTGAAATTAATGTGAAGTAATTTTGCATGAAAATGTTTTGCCTCAGCACCTTTTTCTTTATGAATGTTACTAGGGAACAATGTTACAGGCCATTGAAAGATACATGAAGCAGGCCATCGTGGATAAAGTCTCCGGTGTGTCCAGTTCAGCCCTGGTATCTTCCTTGGTGAGTGGAGCAGTAACTGCCTGGTTCTCATGCATGGTGCCCTGTCTTGTTGATACAACAAAGTATTGCTGTGGTTCTTTCACAAATGAAACATTTAAAAAACGTGGATACATCTCTATTACTTTATCCAGTGGTGTGTAGGGCAATTGAAATGGGCAGTTGAAAATGTGAACTTTTCATATGTGGGCAGTATTTGGTAGAGTCCTAAAGTGACCCTGTATACATGGTAAAGAGGGCTGAGGAGGGTCGGGAGTAGAGAAGGAAGTGAAGGTGGAGCTGGTTTTCTTAAGTCTTCCTTTTAGGACCCACGCTTGTACTTCCTGCCTCTCTGTCCCCTGCTCTCCCTGGTGCCCTTCAATCTGGTATCTCTTGCCCTTCTTCTGAATTTCTTCCCAGGAAGTGATCTCTGTTTCAGTAATACCCTTCCTTCTCTCTTTTCATCAAAACAAAAGCCTAGCACGTTGCATTCAGTTGAAGTTGGTGACCATGGTGGCAGGGAGCAGTGCAGCAGAGCATCTGCATCACAGGTGTTCCTGATTCTGCAGCATGTCTGCTAGACTTCTCCCAGACCCTGACCCACTGTCGTCAAGCGGATTCTGACTATAAAAAACCCCACTGTTGTCAAGTGGATTCTGACTCATAGTGACCCGACCAAAGAAACCCCTTTTGTCAAGTTGATTCCAACTTATGGTGACCCTATAAAAAAAACCCCTGACGTCAAGTTGATTCCAACTCATGGCAATCCTATTTAAAAAAAAAAAAAAACAAAAAAACCACAACCCACTGACGTCAAGTCAATTCTGATTTATAATAACCCTATAAAAAACCCACTGTCGTCAAGCCAGATCCAACTCACGGCATCCCTATAGGACAGAATAGTACTGCCTCATAGGGTTGCAGGGTTGTAGTCTTTACAGAAGCAGACTGCCTAATCTTTCTCTCACAGAGTGGTTGGTGAATTTGAACCGCTGACCTTCTGGTTAGCAGCCCAGCACTTTAACCACTGTGGCACCAGAGCGCCTTAGCAACCCTATAACCCACAGCCATTGAGTTGATCCCAACTCATAGCATCCCCCACTGGGTTTCGAAGGCTGTATATCTTTAAGGAAGTAGATTGCATCCTCGTCTCGCAGAGCAGTGGTGGGTTTGAACTGTCAACCTTCTGGTTAGCAGCCAAATTCTTTAACCCACTATGCCACCAGAGCTCTTTAGCAACCCGATAGGACAGAGTAAAATTGCCCCATAGAGTTTCCAAGGCTGCAGAATTTACAGAAGCAGACTGCCACATCTTTCTCCTGTGGAGCGGTGGGTAGGTTTAAACTCCCAACCTTCTGGTTAGCAGCTGAGTGCTTTAACCATTGTGCCATCAAAGTTTCTCAGAGTTTTATAGTAAGAGATATGTTGTACTCTGTTTCTTTCTCCCAGATGGGTCCCTTGGAAGTAAAACCTATAATGTTGACCACAGTTCTGCACCATTCTATTGACTGCACCATTCTATTGACTGTCCTCTTGTTCTTCTCCCTCTCATTCCCTTTACACACCCCTCCCAGCCCACAGGCATATACTCACCTTTGCTAAGGCGTCTCCGAGGAGGTCTTTCTTTTTAATTGGTTGCCCCAGGAGTAGAGATTTGCAGTAGACTTACGAAGCTACAGCATTGTTTCTTTCTTTTAAAGTTAGAAATAAATACCAACTCGTGTTCCTAAACTTCTAGTGAGTAGGCATTGTGTGATCTCGATTTTTTCTATAATTTAGCACATGATGAAGATCAGCTGTGATGTAGTTAAACGTTGGATCAACGAAGCCCAGGAAGCCGCCTCGAGTGATAATATCATGGTCCAGGTATGTCATCGAATCATATTATGATGTGTCTCAGGATTAGCTTTCCCTAAGCCTGTATTTTCAGAGCAACTTAGTGATTCCCCAGATGAGCGTTAACTGCAGGCAGATTCTGGCATCGGAAATAACCAGTGTGTGCACGTGCTAAGGTAGATATCCTACTGATGGGGGCATGGCTGCCACAGCCCTGAAATTAATGACCCAGAGGAGTGTTCAGGAAGGTTCCTAGGTGGTAGGTTGAGATGCTCATCCCAAAGGCCCTTCATGAAACATTTCAGTCCTTTATTGGAAAAATAATTGGTGTAAAGGGTTGTTCAACTCCAGGCTTCTCAGGGCTTGCTTACAGGCATTATAAACATTACAAAGAGCAAGTTTTACTTTGTGAGAGTTTGGAACTATTTTTCAGGCAGATCTCCATTTCATATGCTTTGGGCTATCCTTTACTAAAAGAAACAAGATTAAATTCTTAACTGGCAAGCTTCTGGAAAGTTCCCCCATTCGTATTTGAGAACATGTTTCTTTTGGCCTCTTTCAGTGTTTATAACTTCTCACAGTAGCATACTCAGTTATGTGGAAACATGTCACTGGCTATTCCCTGCTTACGACATAGCCCCACTTAGGGCCCACTGTTGTGTACATCTTATCATTAGTAGTGTGTACTGTACACAGTGTCGCACTGTGTAATTTGCTGATGTCACCATATCTGTAAATTTATATGTGATGTTTCTAGCCCCCAAAGAGAAATAATGATTGATTTATAGTAAAAGGCAATGGAAATTAAAACTAAAGAATGAGGTATTCAACTTAGGTCAGACCAACTTCTGATGGAGTCATTGGAATGGAACCCTGTGATAAATCCGGGACTACCTGTAGTCATTTTTCCCTTGGAAAACACTCTCATCTGCTAACTCTAGTCATTATTTGATAAATCCGGGACTACCTGTAGTCATTTTTCCCTTGGAAAACACTCTCATCTGCTAACTCTAGTCATTATTTTTACACCAAGTGTCATGTTAATGACACTCGTTAGGCCTACTTTAGATGATTAGTCCTTTAACCACTATGGTGGCCACAGGTGATTTAAAGCCACTGAAAAAGATCTGTAGCATGGTTAAAAGCTTGGGCCTGGGGTAGCACTGTGAGAGCTTGGGCCTGGGGTCCTTCTACTGGGCGTGCCTGGGGCTGTGCGGAGCTACTGGAGCGTCTCCAGCTGGATGCTTCCTCCTCAGTGTTCGTCCGGTCTGGGTTTACAGCTGGGGGTACATAAGAAATGGTTATCCCATCGCTACACTTGAGCCTTTCATGTGCTTAGTTCAGAATGGAAAAGTGCTCCATCTGTATGCATTTGACTTAGGTATCTTTTTATTAAAAGTCTTTTCTCTAGTTCCACATGGTTATGTTTTCGTGTATTTTGTCCTGTTTCTGACGAGCTTTCTGTGTTTGATTCTGTCTCCTGCTCTTTAGTACCACGCACTGGGGGTCCTGTATCACCTTAGAAGGAATGATCGCCTTGCTGTGTCTAAGATGTTGAATAAGTTTACCAAATCAGGACTCAAGTCACAGTTTGCTTACTGCATGCTGATCCGAATTGCCAGTCGCTTACTGAAGGAGACTGAGGAGGGGTAAGTGTCTGCCTTCAACCTGAGATTTTTTTTTTTTTTTTAATTGTGATTTAGGTGAAAGTTTACAGAGCAACTTCCCTTTCCATGCAGCACCTCACATATATTTTGTCTCATAACACTGATTGAAATTTCCCACAATGCAACAGTTCACCTCCCACTGCCTCCCCATAGTCACCTCTTCCCTGTGTCCTTCCTCCATGCACTCCTGCCCCTGGAGCTGTCTCCCTTTGCATACACAGCCCTTCTATTCTCCCATGATTGTTCTCTCCAAGGAGTGTATCTTCCTAATGTAAATGTTCACTTCATATGCCTATCTTTTGTTTGGCTGGAAACCACAGGTGTGGATTCAATTCCAGACCTGAAGGACAACTAGGGGCCATAGTCTCAGTGGTTCCATCAGGCTCTATCAGACCAGCAAACCTGGTCTCCCTTTTTTTTCCCCTAAATGATTTTGAGTTTTGTTCCACATTGTTCTCCCACTCTATCCAGGATCTCCTACGTAGACCCCCCTGAGTGGTTGACAGTGGTAGTTCTTCTGGTCCAGCCTGAGTTCTTTTCCAAGGGCAGATTGATACACCTCATGCTTTGCTCCTTCATGAATGCATTTTTTGGCAGTGCTGACTTTACAGATGTGTTTGATGTTAGTCAAATAAAAAATGTCATGGAGTTTCAAGTAACACTTTTTTTCTTTTTTTAACCCTAATATATGTTCCAGTGTATGTTTTTATGGATTATATTTGCTAATAATCTTAACTCACAAACTGAGTTTTTAAATAAAAATATACCTACAGATCAGATGTTATTCACATAATTGCATGTGGAAGCTGGAAGGGACATTAAGAATCATCTGGCCTTTTATTTTCATAAAAGTGTATGTTGAGGTGCTACATTGGATCGTTTGCTGAAGGTCCTTCTGCTGCTGATTTGCAGATCTGCTGCCAGAGCTCAGCCATCTGATGTCTCATCATAACTGACATTACTCTTTTCAGGTTCTGGCTATGTTCTGAGGTGGAAGTTTGTTTTTCTTGTCTTTCCCTTTCCCTGCAAAATAATGCCAAATTAGTTTTAAAATATGGGTTTAATTAGGTTTATAGGAAAAGGTAAACAAAAATTGATTATACACACAGTAAAGCCTTTGAAAGCGAAACCTGTGTAAGGCAGAAACCTATCAGAGAAGGAAAATGCAAATACTTTCCACTGAAGTGAATGATAAAAAAAGTGGTAAGACTAAACCCTGTCAAGGGGGAAAACTGGCAAGACCTGGAAAAACCAGGCAGTCCTGTCGAGTTCCAGCATTCACAGGTTTCACTGTACATCTCGATACGTTTTTTTTATCTGTCAGCATAAACATCTTAATAATATCTGACATGAATTGAGTATGTGTTTTATACCAGGCACTATGCTTAGCAATTTACAAACATTGCTTTCATTTCATCCTCAAAATACTCTTAAGTGGTAAATGATGTTAGATGGAGTTAAGTAAATTGTTCCATTAAGAGGCAGGTAGTGGAGCCAGTGTACATATTAACCTATGTTAATCTAATTACTGTCACAGTATAAATAGTATTTTCAGGCCTTTCAGGCTGAAGATGACAGTCTGTACACAGCTAATACCGTTCTTCTACAAAATCACAGAAATGGTAGAAAGATATATTAAAGATAACCAAAAAGGGAATGCTTCATGATCCCAAAATGAAGACATTTCATAAACAAATGAAGCAAAAGGAAAACATTAATGATGAGGAGGTAATAGCCACTAGTGGTATAGTGGTCAAAACATTTGGCTGCTAACCAAAAGGTTAGTGGTTCGAACCCACCAGCCACTCTGTGGGAGGAAGATGAGGCAATCAGCTCTGTAAAGCTTTACAGCTTTGGAAACCCTGTAGGCAGTTCTGCTGTCCTATAGGGTTGCTGTGCGTCGGAGTCAATGAGATGGCAGGAGTTTGGTTTACTGAGACTCCAGGAGTGAGGCTGACGTTTCTGTGATGCCATCAGAACCCCTGTGTGCACAAGAGAATTTTCCTGCAAAGGAATATTAACTCACAGACAGGTGAGGAAAGCCCTTGCTGTGTGTGAAAGACAACAAACTCAGCGAATGGAAGAACTTACGCTTGAAGAAATAGAGATAATGGCCTGATCTGAAAGGGACTTTATAGTCTTTTTCTCTTTGTCTTTTTGTTATTGTAGTGAAAATATACATAACAAAGTAAACAACATCTCAATGATTTGGACAGGTACAGTTCAGTGACATGGATTACATTCTTCAAGTAGTACACCCATTCTTGCTATCATTTTCCAAACCATTCCACCACCATTAACATAAACTTAATGCCCCCCAGACAAAAACTCCTCCTTGTCCCCTCCCTCCCACCTCTGGTAACCACTAATGATCTTCTGTTTCTATATGTTTGCTTTTTCCATATAAGAAAAATAATTTAATATTGTTCTTTAGCAATTGACTTACTTCACTCACCATAATGTTTTCAAGGTTCATCCATGTTAGAACTTCATTTCTCTTTATGGCTCAGTAGTATTCCATTTTGTGTATGTCCTGCATCTTGTTTATCCATTCCTCTGTTGATGAACATTTCGGTTGATTCACCTTTTGACTATTATGAAAAGTGCTGCAATGAATATTGGTGTACAGGTTTGTGTTAGTATTCCTACTTTCACTTCTTCTGGGTATATACCTAGGTTTGGGATTACTAGGTTTTGTGAGAGCTCCATGTTCCACTTTCTGAGGAACTGAAAAACTTTTCCACAGTGGCTTTACCATTTTACATTTCCACCAGCAGTGCATGAGGCTTCCACTTTCTCTACAACTTGCAAACACTGTTGTCTTTCGTTTTTTGTTTATTTCTTTTGTTTTTGATCATTGCCATTCTAATTGGGGGTGAAGTGGTGTCTCATTGTGATTTTGATTTGCATCTGTCAGTTTGTCATACTGTGGTGGATTGTGTGTTGCTGTGAGGCAGGAGACTATGCCACTGGTATTTCAGATACCAGCAGGGTCACCCATGGTGGACAGGTTTCAGCGGAGCTTCCAGACCAAGACTGGGAAGAATGATAGGGCTATCCAATTCTGAAAAAAGTGGCCAGTGAAAACCTTGTGAATAGCAGTGAAACCTTGTATGATATATTACTAGAAGACTTTATGAATAGCCCTGAAACATTGTGTGATACAGTACTAGAAGATGGGCCCCCCAGGTTGGAAGTCACTCAAGATACGTCTGGGGAAGAGCAGCCTCCTCAACGTGGATGTGGATGGACTGAATCTTTCAGGACCTCCATCTGCTGATGGGGCAGACTCAAAATGGGAAGAAACAGCTGCAAACATTCATTAATAATCAGAACATGGAATGTACAGAGTATGAATTTAGGAAAATTGGAAGTTGTCAAAAATGAAATGGAACACATGAAGATTGATATTCTTGGCATTAGTGAGTAAAATGGACTGGTATTAGCCATTTTGAATCAGACAATCATATCATCTACTATGCCAGGAATGACAAATTGAAGAGGAATGGCATCACATTCATCTTCAAAAGGATGATGAAGATCTATCCTGATCTATCAAGATCTATCCTGAAGTACAGGATAGATGCTGTTAGTGATAGGATAATATCGATACACCTGCAGGGAAGACCAGTTAACACTACTGTTATTCAAATTTATGCACCAACCACTAAAGCTAAAGATGAAGAAATTGAAGATTTTTAGCAACTTCTGCAGTCTGAAATTGACCAAACATGTAACTAAGATGTACTGATTATTACTGGTGATTGAAATATGAAAGTTGGAAACAAAGTAAAATCACCAGTAGTTGGAAAACATGGCTTTGGTGATAGAAATGGTGCCGAAGATCTCATGACAGAATTTTGTAAGACTAACAGCTTATTCATTGCGGATTCCTTTCTTCAACAACATAAATGGCTGTTGTACATGTAGACCTTGCTAGATGGAATACATAGGAATCAGATCGACTACATCTGTGGAAGGAAGCAATGGAGAAGCTCAATATCTTCAGTCAAAACAAGGCCAGGAGCTGACTGTGGAACAGACAATCAGTTGCTCATATGCAAGTTCAAGTTGAAGCTGAAGAAAATTAAAACCAGTCCATGAGAACCAAAATATGACCTTGATTATATTCCACCTGAGTTTAGAGACCATCTGAAGAACAGATTGACACATTGAACACCAGTGACTGAAAACCAGACCAGTTTTGGATGGAATGACATCAGCAACATCATATGTAAAGAAAGGAAGTGGTCATTAAAAGGCAGGAAAGGAAAAAAAGACCAAAATGGATGTCAGAAGAGACTTTGAGACTTGCTCTTGGATGGAGAGTAGCTAAAGCAAAAGGGGGAAATGACAGAATAAGCAAGCTGAACAGATTTCAAGGAGTAGCTCGAGAAGACAAAGTTAATTACTATAATGAAATGTGCAAAGACCCAGAGTTAGAAAGCCAAAATGGAAGAACATGCTTGGCGTTTCTCAAGCTGAAAGAACTGAAGAAAAAATTCAAGACGAGTTGTAATATTGAAAGATTCTATGGGCAGAATATTGAATGATGCAGGAAGCATCAAAAGAAGATGGAAGGAATATACAGAGTCACTGAATCAAAAAGAATTGGTCAGTGTTCATCTATTTCAGGAGGTGGCATATGATCGAGAACCAATGGTATTGAAGGAAGAAGTCAAAGCTGCACTGAAGGAATCGGTGGAAAACAAGGCTCCAGGAATTGATAGAATGCCTGTTGAGATGTTAAAACAAATGGATGCCCCTCTGGAGGCACTCACTCAGTTATGCCAAGAGATTTGGAAGACAGCTACCTGGCCAACTGACTGGAAGGGATCTATATTTGTACTCATTCCATGGTAAGACGATCCAACAGAATGTGGAAATCATTGAACAATATTATTAATATCACATGCAAGTAAAATCTTGCTGAAGATAATCCAAAAATGGTTGCAGTAGTATATGGACAGGGAACTTTCAGAAATGCAAGCTGAATTCAGAAGAGGACGTGGAACAAGGAATATCATTGCTGATGTCGGATCTTGGCTGAAAGCAAAGAATACCAGGAAGATATTTACTTGTGTTTTATTGACTATGCAAAAGCATTCAACACAATCATAACAGATTGTGGATAACGTTGAGAAAGATGGGAATTCCGATACACTTGACTGTACTCATGAGGAACCTGTACAGAGACCAGAAGGTTACTGTTCATACAGAACAAGGGGATACTGCATGGTTTAAAATCAGGGAGTGTGTGCATCAGGTTGTATCCTTTTGCCATACTTACTCAATCTGTATGCTGAGCAAATAATCTGAGAAGCTGGACAACATGAAGAAGAATGTGGCATCAGGATTGGAGGAAGGGTGATTAACAACCTGTGATACTCAGGCTACATGACCTTGCTTGCTGAAAATGAAGATGACTTGAAGCACTTCTTGATGAAGGTTAAAGACTACAGTCTGCAGTGGATTATATCTCAACATAAAGAAAGCAAAAATCCTCACAACTGGACCAATAAGAAACGTCATGATAGATGGAGAGAAGATTAAAGTTGCCAGTGATTTCATTTTACTTGGATCCACAGTCAACACCCGTGGAAGCAGCAGTCAGAAAATCAGACATTTTATTGCACTGGGCAAATCTGCTGGAAAAGGTGCTCCTGACCCAAGTAATGCCTAAGGCATCTGACTGCTAACCAGAGGCTGGCAGTTCAAACCCACCAGCCACTACTCGGAAAGAAGACTGGGCAATCTACTTCTGTAGAGATGCCACCTTGGAAACCCAAGGAGGGGTAGCTATGAGTTGCAATCGACTTGATGGCAGTGAGTTTGGATTTTTTTTTTTTTTTTTGGTTTTCATATGCATGTAAAATCTGGACCATGAATAAGGAAGACTAGGAGCTCTGTTGGCATAGTGCCTAAGGCATTTGATAGCTAATCAGAAGGCTGGTGATTCAAACCCACCAGTCACTCCTCAGAAGGAGGATTGGGCAATCTACTTCTGTAGTCATAGCACCTTGGGAACCCAAGGAGGGGTTGCTGTGAGTCGGATCTGACTTGACAGCAATGAGTTTGGTGATTTTTAGAGAATTGATGCCTTTGAATAATGGTGTTGGTGAAGAATACTGAAAATACCACGGACTGCCAGAAAAGCAAACAAATCAATCTGTGCTGGAAGAAGTGCAGCCAGAATGCTTCTTGGAAGCAAGAATGGCCAGACTTTGTCTCACATACTTTGGTCATGTAATTGGAAGGGACCATTCCCTGGAGAAGGATATCATGCTTGGTAAAGTAGACGGTCAGCAAAAAAATGGAAGACCCTTAACGGGATGGATTGACACAGTGGCTGCAAGGATGGGCTCATTTGTAGCAAGGATTGTGAGGTGGACGCAGGACTGCACAGTGTTTCATTCTGTTGTACACAGGATTGTGCTGAGTCATAGCTGAATTGATGGCACCTAACAGCAACAACCCCCTAGTTAGTGGTTATCCTGCCTCCCCACCCACCCCTGGCAAAGAATATTTCTTTTCTTGTGAAACCCTTTTATTGGCTATTTACAATAGTGATCTTATACAATATTTGTCCTTTTGTGATTAATTTCACTCAGCATAATGGCTTCTAAGATCATTTATGTTAATGAAATGTATTGTAGATTCATTATTACTCTTTAACAATAATGTGTGTAGTATTCTGTTCTATGTATGTACCGTAGTTTGTTGATCCATTCCCCTGTTGAATGGCGTTTAGGTTGTTTGTATGGTTTTGCTGTTGTGAATAGTGCTGCAGTGAACATGGGTGTGCATCTGTCTGTTTGTGTCATGGATCTTATTTCTCTAGGATATATACCTAGTAGTGGGATCGCTGGATCATAGGTATTTTGATTTCCAGCTTTTTAAGGAAGTGCCAGATTGAAAAACTGACTTTTTATTATCGTTGTTATTGCTGTTTTATTGTGATTTGGTTGAAAGTTTACAGAGCAAATTCATTTTCTATTCAGTTCATACACATTTTGTTTCATAACATACACAAGGGGCAAAAGTATGAAAACTTAGGCATAGCCAAAACCTTAAGGGAATGAGTTGTGGAGCCTGGGGTCTCAGGACTGACCACAGCCTTGGGGGGACATCAAAGTCAATTGGCACAACATAGCCCCCAAAGAAAATGTTCTACATTCCATTTTGGGGCAGTGGGTGGGGTCTTAAAAGCTTGCGAGCAGCCATCTAAGTGCAGCTGTTGTTCTCTACCTGTCCAGAACACAGAATAGTGAAGGAAATCAAGGACTCATGGAAACAATTAGTCCAAAGGACTAATGAGTCACCGCGTGAACCTTAGTCCCCATGACTACAGCTAACAACCTCTCTGAAAGGGATCACCTTAGAAGATCCTGGATAGAGTAGGAGAAAAATATGGAACAAAACTCAAAATCATATGAAAGACCAGGTTTACTGGTAGGGTAGAGGCTGAGGGACTCCCTGAGACTATGGCCCTTGGTCACCATTCCATCTTGGAATGGAACTCACCCCCACGGCTCAATTTTCAGCCAAACAATAGACAGGTCTACAAGGTGAACAGTATTACTAAGGAGGTATACACTCCTTAGAACAGTCAACCATTTGAGATCAAAAGGGCAGCATTTGCCCAAGGACAAAATTCAGAAGGTGGGGGGGGGGCAGGTTGGGAAAGGAGGAGGAATGGAAATGAAAATCACAGGGAACAAGTAAGATGGATGAATGAAGTCACATTGAGGGGATTGCAGTCAATGACATGAAACAAAATGTATATGAATTTTTTTTTTTTTTTATTGTGATTTGGGTGAAGATTTACAGAGCAAATTCACTTTCCATACAGCAGTTCACATATACTTTGTCTCATGTCTTTGACCACAGTTTACCACAATGCAACAGCTCCCCTCCCACTTCCTCCCCATAGTTACCTCTTCCCAGTGACCATCCCTCCACACACTCCTGCCCCCTAACCTGTCTCCCTGTGCATAAGCAGCCCTTCTTTCTCCCGTGATTGTTCTCTCCAAGGAGTGTATCTACTTGAGGTAAATGTTCAACTCATATGCCTGTATTTTGTTTGGCTGGAAACCACAGGTGTGGGTTCAATTCCAGACCTGAAGGGCAGGTAGGGGCCATAGTCTCAGTGGTTCCACCAGGCTCTATTGGACCAGCAAACCTGGTCCCCACGTTTTTTTTTTTTTTTTCTCCAAATGATTTTGAGTTTTGTTCCACATTGTTCTTTCTCCCTCTCTGTCAAGGGTCTCCAAATAGATCCCCTTCCAAGTGGATGACAGTAGTAGCCAGGCACCATCTAGTTCTTCTGGTCTCATATTTGTATAAGCTGCAGATCGGATGGTGTACCAGTCGCTAGGACTAATTGTTTCCATGAAGTTTGGTTTTCTTCTGTATATGAATTTTTGAATGGAAAACTGATATGGTCTGTAAACTTTCATCCAAATCATAATAAAAAGGTTGAACAACAACAACAACAAAAAAACCTGTTGGCAGGAGGGAGCAGTTGGCAAACAAACGTGAAAGATGTATATCATTTGCATAAAAATACAGTGTATTCTTTGTTGCATGTTGCTGCTAGAGTCTCTGTTTGGTTAACTGAGTGGTCAGATAATGGTTAGGTAGAGATTGTCTTAATGCTTTAAATCAGTGAGACACCTGCCTTTTTCCAAGAGGCTCTGTGTATGTTGGCATGTGCTTTCCATGCTCCAGCGGTTTACAACTCTGCCTTAGCCTGTACTTCCTGCGTGTGCAGAGCCTCAGAGTAAGCAGAAGAGAGAGGCTGGGATTCTGCAGGTCTTTCTTGGGCACATGCACAGCCCTTCACCGTGTGTATAGCTTTCTAAGTCTCCAGGAGTGTGTCAGAGATTTTCAGAGCTCTGTATCAACATCTCGTTCCCCAGATTTCTCCATTTAAATTTGTCTCCAGCCTCTTGTCTGTTGCAAGTGGCGTTGCCACTGCAGGCAGCTGTGAGTCTAAACAGTTTTTGCTTTTTGTTTGTTTGTTTCTCTTCTTCCTTTTTTCTTTCTTTCTTTTTAAATAAACTTCTTGAGGGTAGGGCTTTTCATGCTGAACAAGTTCTGAGTCAGTCTAATAAAGATGAGCTCTGGGGATGGGGCTCTTTGGGAAACTCCAAACATCCTTCTCTCTCCTGCTGGGTTGCTGTTTTTCAAGGCTCCTGTGGAACTGGAAGAAGGGGGTGGACTGGGGCAAGTTAAAATTCCAGAAAGCTCACTGTTTTCACAGATCAAAAACCACACCAGACTTAACTACCACTGAGTCGAATCTGACTCACAGCGGCCCCTCCATGGGTTTCCAAGGCGGTATCTCTACGGAAGTAGATTGCCCAGTCTTCCTTCTAAGGAGTAGCTGGTGAGTTTGAACCACCAACCTTCTGGTTAGCAGTCACATGCCTTAGGCACTATGCCACCAGCCACCTCCTGTTTTCACAGATATAAACTGTTTTTCTTGAATAAAGACCGCTAGAATTGTTGGAAAGGAGTTCTCGTGATACAGGGTTAAGGCATTTGGCTGCCAACAGAAAGGTTGGTGGTTCAACCCACCAGCTGCTCCCTGGAAAGAAAAGGAGGCAGTTTGCATCTGTAAAGATTTATAGCCTTGGAAACCCAATGGGGGTTACTACAACTCAGTGAGTTTGGGGTTTTGTGGACTTTTTTTGGAGGATTGTTGGAAGCCTTTGGTTAATTTCTTGAGTTCTGAAAAAGTTGATTGTGAAAATTTTGCCAGTCTTCTCGTGACTTTTATGTAAGAGTGGGTTTTCAGAGGCCCTTCCTCTGTGATTTGGAAAGTGCTTCTTGGTGTGTCTGTGTTTTTAACCACCATGGGTACTGTCGCTGTTCTGTTTGATACCTAAATAATGGCCTGTATATATTTATCGGCAGCCACGAGAGTCCACTCTTTGATTTCATTGAGAGCTGCTTGCGAAATAAACATGAGATGGTCATTTATGAAGCTGCTTCAGCTATCATCCATCTTCCTAACTGCACTGCCAGGGAGTTGGCCCCTGCGGTTTCAGGTTAGTTGAGTATTTGCTGGATTGTGTGTGTGTGTTGCTCTAAGTTCTATGGGTCTGCAGAATAGATACTGAGGCTTCTTTTGACCCTTCGTGGTTTGTATAACGCTTGCATCCTGAGATCTCATGCAGGTGGTTTATTTTAGTTGTTTTTACTTTTATTACTTCCTTCTCTCAAGTTACTGTTTGTTTGCATATAAAACTTGAGGAACATTTTACTTAGAAAACATGTAACTTTAATGCCCTAACTTTTCTTTAATGTTTAAAAAGCCTATTTGCTTTCATAACTCTAAATGTTTAGAGGTATATTAACATCTTAATGGGTCTGTTGATTTTTTTTTTTTTTAGAAAAAAGCAGATTTTGTTTTGTATTGATAAAAATTTTTATAACTAAACACAGTGCTCTTTCTCTTTTCATGACACATTTTTCATGTGAGTTTTTGATGCTATGATGTAATCTTATGCATGTTCTGAATATGATTATGCTGTGTTTCAGCTATGTGACAGATGATGAAATGAGCTATGTTCACAATATGGGTTCTTTTTTTTGTTCGTTTTTAGTTCTTCAGCTTTTCTGTAGCTCTCCTAAGCCTGCCTTGAGATATGCAGCTGTGAGGACCTTGAACAAGGTAGGTGTTTCTTTTCTGTTGATTTATACCAGTGACTGATTGAACATATTGAGTGTGAAACACTTTACTTTCTCTCTAAGGTTAATAGAAGTAATATGTAGGTGTCATCTCTACAATACTGCGTTTATATTTGTGGCCTCAAGTATGGCCATTTTTACTGTTAATCAATTGAACAGTATAATTAGTTTCTGATTTCTAACCTCTTTATGGTCAAGAGCCATACTCTCCAATATGGTGGCCATTCACCAAAAAATACCAAAACTACTGCCATCAAGTTAATTCTGACTTATAGTAACCCCCTTTGGGTTTCCAAGGGAGTAAATCTTTACGGAAGTAGATTGCCCAGTTTTCCTTCCGTGGAGTGGCTGGTGGGTTTGAACCACCAATCTTCTGGTTAGCAGTCAAATGCCTTAGGCACTAAGCCACCAGACCGCACATGCTATTTCTATTTAAAATAATTGAAATTCACTTGAAGATTTAGTTTCTCAGTAACACTAGCCCCATTTCATGTGCTCAGCAGCCACATGTGCTGTTTAATGGCTCACATAGTGAACAGTGTGCTCTAGAACATTTCTATCACTGTAGAAAGTTCTCTTGGACAGTGCTGGTCCCCATCAGCACTGTCCAATAAAAACATAATGTGAGCCACATACGTAGTTAAAAATTTTATAGTAGCCACATTAACAAATGTCTTAAAGGTGAAGATACTTTTAACAGTATATTTTGTTTAACCTAATGTGTCTAAGTCATTTCAACATGTAATCAGTATAAAGGTTATTAGAGATTTTTTTTCATATTTCTTTTTCTTTTTTGGGGGGATACCAAGTCTTCAACATCCAGTGTGTATTTCCTGTTTACAGCATATCTCAGTTTGGACCAGCCACCATTCAAGTGTGCATTCGTCACATGTGGCCAATGGTGAATTGATTGGACAGCATTAGTCTAGAGACTACAACAGGGAAATGCAGAATAAATTAACTAACCATCAAACGATTTTCCTTAAGAGTTTAATGTAACAGAAGATGTGTCGTAGGTGTGTATCATCAGTTATTATAAGTTAATTGTACAAACAGTTGGAAGAGAGAGAAGTTTAGAGAAGCTGTGGAAGAAGCCTTTACAGGGCTACTTGAGTTTTATCCTCATCTGGCGTCTTGGAGCCTGATGTGTCTTACCCTTGAGTTTTATCCCTCACATCTGTAGTCTTGGAGCCTGATGTGTCTTACACTTGAGTTTTTCCTCATCTGT